CCCCCCCCCATTCAGACCTATACTCAGGGCATGCCCGAGCGCCCGTTCTACCAGTTGGACCTGGCCTCCCTGTCTGGGCTCTTTACCTACGGCCTGCTGTTGAGTCTCCTGCTGCCGGTCTTTGTCAATAACATTGTCCACGACAAGCAGGTGCGCTCCGGGCGGTCCACCATGCCCCGCTTGCTTGGCTCCTGCTCGGCTCCCTGACAGTGGTTACCTCTTCTCTTGGGCCGCAGGAGCGCCTGCTGTCGCTCATGCGCATGAGTGGTCTGCGCATGCGCGTGTACTGGATTGTCAACTACCTGTTCAACTATTCGCTCTACTGCCTTGTGCTGCTGATTACGGTGCTGGTGTCGGTGTCGTTCGGCATGAAGATGTTTACCGAGACCAGGTGCGCGTGCATCGGTGTCCTCCTACTTGTCCCCCTCGTCCCCCCCCCCCTCCCCCGGCAGGTGCTAACCTCTTTGCGTCCTCTCGTCCCCCTTGGGGGTCTTCCCCAGTCCGGTCGTCTACCTGACGATCTACCTCCTCTGGGGCCATGCGCTGGTCTGCTTGTCCTTCCTCTTCTCCACGCTGCTGACCAATTCCAAGACCGCCACGATGATCGGCTATCTGATTGTGATTATTGGTGTCAGCTCGTCCAACCTCCTGAACTTGACTGTCTTCCTCGAGACCAGCCCGCCTTTCCTGTGCGTTTGCCCGCTTCCTCCCCCCCCCCCCTCTCTCCTGGCGGCGATCGCTTGATCGGCCCTTCTACTTGGTGTGCCGGGCTGGGGCGTGGCCTGGTTTTTTTTTTCGCCCTGACGTCGAAACCTATTCACCCTCCCTGACCGTTTCTCCTCCCTCATCTCCCCCCCCCTCTCTGTCTACCCCTCTTTCTCCCCCCGTCCTTTTGCCCCTTGCTTTCCTTCTCGATGCTTTTAGCTACTTCCTGTACCCGCCCTTTGCTTTCTACCGGTCGGTGTACCTCATGGGCCTGGCGTGTATTGAGCTCCGGTGCATGCCGACCAGCACCTTGACCGAGGTATATGCTGGGGGGCCATTTCCCTATCCTCCCCTGCCGGTCTTCTTCCCTTTTCCCGCCGACAGCTTGCCCCGTGGCTCCCATCTAACCCCCTCCCCCCCCCCCCCCCCCTCGCCACGTGTGCCTGCCCGCATGCAGTTCAATGAAATTTGGCAGATCATCATCTGCCTGACCCTGCAATGCTTTGTCATGTTCGGCCTGACGGTGTATCTGGACCGCGTCTTGCCCGATCAGCATGGCACCCGCCGCGATCATCCGCTTTTCATTGTCGACACCCTCCTGCGGCCGTTCGGCCTCGGGCCCTACTTCTCGACTGAGGAGCCAGGTGGTGCGTATCGCAGTGCACCCTCGCTTGCTTGCCAAGTCGCGCGCGCACGCACATGCACCCTGGCCATACATGTATTGACCTGGCTCTCTCTCTCCCCCTCTCTTTCTCTCTCCCTCGCTCTCCCTCGCTCTCTTTCTCTCTCTCCCTCGCTCTCTTTCTCCCCCTCGCTCTCTCCCTCTCCCTCCCTCGCTCTCTCCCTCTCCCTCCCTCGCTCTCTTTCTCCCCCTCACTCTCTTTCTCCCCCTCACTCTCTTTCTCCCCCTCGCTCTCTCCCTCTCCCTCCCTCGCTCTCTCCCTCTCCCTCCCTCGCTCTCTTTCTCTCTCTTTCTCTCTCTCCGACTCATGCCGAATTGTTCCGCACCTTGGAAAGCCCCCACCAAGAGCTCCACTCTGGGAGCCGATGCCAGTGTCAACTCCTCGGCCGAGGCGCTCCTTGGCGGGCAGGCGGACGAGGACAATGATGAGGAGGCCTTCGGCGGCGAGGATGCCCCTCTTCTGGCTGGGCAGCCCGGCGCCTCGCGGCAGTCAGCCAGTCTCTTTGGCATCAGCCTGCCTGGAGGGGGCGCCGGGGCCGCCGGGCGGCCGCTGACCCCGCGTGAGCTGCGCATTCTCGCCGAGGCGTCAGCCAGCCGTCCCTTCGAGGATCCGGACTGCCGGGCCGAGCGTGCCACCGCTCTGGCGGCTGCCGGGTCCCCAGCTGGCCCGGGCGAGTTCCCGATCCTGCTGGCCGGCGTGGGGAAGACCTACTACCCGACCCCGGGCCTGTCGATGGCTGGCCTGCGGGAGTGCTTCGGTCTGGCCACGTCGGGCGATGTGCCAGCCGCCGCCGGGCCGAAGGTCGCCGTGGCTGATCTCTTCCTGGCCGTGCCAAATGGCCAGTGCTTCGGCCTGCTTGGTCCCAATGGCGCGGGCAAGACATCGCTCATCAGCGTGCTTACCGGCCTGGCTCCTGCCTCGCAGGGGGCCGGGCACTGCTTTGTCGCCGGGTTCCCGCTCACATCGATCGACGCCGTGCAGGTACCCCATTGGCCTGGCCTTGCCGCCTGTATTGCGTTTCTCTTCCACCCCCTTCCGGGGGGAGGGGCTTTCCGTGTACTAATTCGATGGTCCAATCCGTCCTCCTCGCCTTCCCTCCCCACCCCCCCGCCCCCACCCCTGTCAGCGTCACATCGGTGTGTGCCCGCAGTTTGACATCTACTATCCGGATTTGACGGTGGAGGACCATTTGCTGTTCTTCGCCCGGCTCAAGTGCTCGGCTTCCGACATCTCCACCGTCATGACCATGCAGGCCACACAGCAGAGCTCGCCCTTCCATGCCTTGGCCGTCAGCGCGGCCCAATCGGTGGAGCTATATCCGGAGCACTATGGCAAGCGGGCGTCCGAGTTGTCTGGCGGCATGCGCCGGCGACTGTCCCTGGCGATCGCCCTGCTCGGAGACCCGCGCGTGGTCATTCTCGACGAGCCGACCGGCGGCCTGGACCCCTCGACCCGGCGCGAAGTCTGGAAGACCATTCGCCATATCTCACGCAACCGTGTCATCCTTCTAACCACGGTACTGTTGCGGCTTGGCTCTCTTTCTCCGGCTCTTCCGGCTCCCCCCCCCTCCTTCTTTTTTTTTTTTGTTTTTCTCGCCCAGCCCCCCACTGTTCCCTCCCTTTGCTGACGGTTGGTCCACCTGTCCCTGGCGCCCGGGGGGCTTCTTCTTCCGGGGCTTTGCCCGTTTCTTCAGCATTCCATGGAGGAGGCCGAGGCCCTGTGTGGCCGGGTGGGTGTCCTGTCCCATGGCAGCCTTCGCGCGATCGGCACGCCGGTGCACCTGAAGCGCCGCTACGCCAGCTCCTATGCGCTGACCCTCTCGCTGGTGGGCGCTGTCGACTTGGCCCGCAAGAGCCGGTCCAACATGGACCTGGACAGTGAGGTGTCCCCGATGGCGGTTCTTTCCGATGAGGAGATCCGCGAGCGTGTGCTCCTTTGGGTGGCCGGCAATTTCCCGACGGCGGTCCCCCTGCCGGAGGAGTCCCTCAACCGGACACTCTGTTTTGAGGTTCGGGCCTGCCTGCCAGCCCCCGAGCCGGAGGGGGACGCCTCCGCGAATGGCCCGCCGGCTGCCTCGCCGACCACCGGTCCTGATGGGGAATTCGTCCTGAGCAAGGCCTTCCATTTGTTGACGCAATTGTCCTCCCTCGGGCCCGGTGGGGTGTCTGGCGACTCCCCGCGCGACACGGCCCTGGCTTCGGTCATGGGTCTGGTGCAGGACTGGAACCTCTCGCCGGCCTCACTGGAGGAGGTGTTCATGCGTATCGTCCGCCAGGAAGGCCACTTCCGGGCATAGTCTTCCTCCATGGGCGTGGGGGGATCTTTCGTCCGATTGGTCCGACTCTCTCTCTCTCTCTCTCTCTCTCTTTCCCTGCCTTGCACCCGGGGAACGGGAGAGGCCCACGTACATCAGGCGACCCCCCCCCCCCCTCCTTCCCCGCTCTGTGTGCCATCCAACAAAGTGTGCTGCTACTAGACGCGCAAATGGTTCTGTGTGTATGTTCATCACATGGTTTTGGTGGGAAGAAACTCAAGGACAAGAAAGGGAGCAATGGGAGCAGGTACATGGGGGTGAAAAAAAAGGCGTGCCCATTATTGGTGGTTGAGGGCATGGAAGTGATGGAGACCCGGGGAGGTGGATGAGGCATTCTGGTGGGGGAAGGCCCGGATGGAGTGGAGCTGACACTCAAACTCGAAGACGCTGGAGGGGAGAGCATGCACCGGTAGATCGCATGGGCAGGACAAAAAAAAACACACGGAGGAGGGGAGGAGAAAATCGTCAAAGTCAGTGGACGGCCGGCCGAAAGGGAGCAGGGGGAAGGGAAGGAAGAGAGAGGGAGAAAGAGCGAGAAAGAGCATCACCCCAAAGAGCCATGGAAAGGGTAGCCACATGCTGACACATACCCGGCATGGTCATTGAAGAGGAACTTCATCATCGGCGGGCCGGGAGAAACGCCAGAGGCACCGGGGCCGGCGGACGAGTGGACGAGCGGCACCAACTGCCTGCCCCGGGGAGCAGTACCATCGCCATCATCCATGCGCTCCTCCCCGTCGGGGGTGCTGAAGAAGGCGTCAACCGAGGGGGCATGCAAATCCCCCGCCATGAGGAGGTCCTCCGGGGTGGTCTGGGAGCCGCCAGGCGCCTGGCCCGTGCCCGATGGCTGAATCGGCACGAAGGTCAAACCGCCGGCCGGGGCCACGGCATAGATCGTGGGCCTGGCGCATGCAGGGGTGGTGGTGGTGGGCCCCTCGTTGCTGGGCATCCCGGTCGGCTGCTGGCCATTCACCAGGGAAAGAACATGCGCCGGGGGGTTGTCCGCTCCGGTGGCCGGCAGGGAAGAGGTGAAGGAAGCCCACAGACCATTGGCACCCACCTGGCCATCGGTGCCCATTTCGGCCGACATGTTCCGGCCGGCGAACCAGCCAAACAGCTCGGTCATGGAGAGGGCCGCATGCGGCCGGCCGAAGGAGGCGCCTCCGGTCGCCGGCTGGGGCGGCAGCGACCCGGTGCTGGCGGCAGCGAGCCCCGGCAGGGCGAGGGCTCGCGTGCCGGGCGGCGCTGGCAGTGCCAGGCTCCGGCCGCCGGCGACATCGCTGGCATTGCCCGGCAGCGTGGCCATCGCCGCGTCCAGGCCAGACGCCCCGAGGAAGAGGTCCGTGGCCAGTTGCTCGCCGGCGGCCGAAAGGGTGAGCCCGCCTACCAGCGAGCCGGGACCGCCCTCGGGAATCCCGAGCGCCATGGAGCCGGAAGGCCCGGGCCCGATGGACCCGAGCGGGGTCGGCAGGCCCTGCTGGATGAGCTCCACACAGGCCGCCGAGCAGACACACCCCTGGTCGCAGAGCAGAGGCTCCGACAGGTTGGCCTGGAATGCCGACAGGTAGGACTGCATGGTGTCATAGGCGGTGATCCCGGCTCCGGGAGAGCCATACACCGAGTTGGCCAATGCAGCATCGGCATCATCCGCCGGATGCCCGGGGAGCAGCTTGGCCGAGGGCCGGTGCGGGGCATTCACCCGGGGATCCAGCGGCAGGGGGCCAGGCCGGTAGGGCATCACCGCCGACACGTCGCCCCTGCCCGGGCCGCCACTGGCCAGGGTGTTGGCCGGAAGCGAGGCCAGCATGCCGGCCGGCGCGCCCGGCACCCCCCCCGGGCCGGAGGACAAGTTCCCGGCCCAGGGAAGCAGCAGCGATGCAAAGGCGAAGAGCGACACCACATAGAAGCCCTGCTTCCAGCCGGAGAAGTAGCCATCCGACTCCGGAGACATGGAGGAGGAGGAGGAGAGTCCCGAAGCCGAGGAGGACCCATCGTCCGAGGCGGTAGAGTGCAAGTCCTCCGGGAGCGTGCCCATGCGCGGCACCGCCGAGGGGGGAGCGGCGGCCGACGGTGCGCCGGACAGGGCGGCAGCCGCCTCGGCAGCCGGTGCATACTCCGCCCGGGGAGGGGCGCCACCGCGTGCCATCGGGCCCGGCAGCGGCCCGGGAGCCGGGCCCACGGCGGCACGACACCCGGGCCCGCCGGGACAGGCGGCCGCCCGCAAGCTCGCACACTCGGCCTCCAGATCCTGGATGCGCTGTCGGGCGGCGGCCAGATCGGCCAGGAGCTCGGCAATGCGCGTGGCTCGGGCGGCACTCTCGCGGGCGGCGCGGGCCGTGGCCTCGGCCTTGCGCGCGCGTGATGCCTCGGCCGAGGCGCGATTGCGCAGTCGCCGCAGCGTGGCCGGATCGCTGACCGCCGCCGAGGAAATCGGCGTCGGGGCCGAGCCGCTCCCCCCGCCGGTGGACAGCACACGGTCCGAAGCCTTCTTGGCCTGGAGGAGGGGAAGCGCCCCCCGGGGGCCACCGGCACCGGGGCCGCCAATGCCACCGGCACCGGACACCACGCGGATGGCAGCCACCACGGCATCGGCCACCAGCTCGGCGGTGCTGCTGGAAATGCTGCCGGCAGCCGCCGGCGGGGAGAGGCTCGACGACCGGCCGGCCCCCTGCCCCAGCGAGGGGGTCGGTGGGCTGGAGCCACTCGGGCTGTCGGACCCGGATGGGGGGGAGCCGCTGGCGGCCGATCCGGCCGCAGGGGGGAGCGAGTGTTGCTGGCCGGCCGGGGCCGGGCCCGGGGCCACCGGGTGCCAAGCATCCGAGCTCGACGGGGCTGCGGCCGGGATGGGCTCCGCGCCCGGCACGGTGGCGGCAGGCGCCGGCCCCTTGGGGGGGATGCTCACCCGGTGCGGACCCACCATCAGGTGCGCCGGCAGGGGGATCGGCGGGAGACTCGGCGGCACCGATGGCAGAAGCGGGGTCAAGGCCACGCCCGTGGCCGGGGAGAAGTGCCCTGCTGGGGGGCTGTGCCCGGGCGAGGCGGACATGTGCCCGGAGCCCGGGTGCCCGGAGACATCGGACGATGATGGCGACCCGTAGGAGTGCCCTGCACTGGGCGAGCCACCGTAGTAGGCGCCCTCCGAAGGGTCGTGCATGGCATTCGGGGCCGCACTTGGCGGGAAGTACGTCTGCGTGGTGTAGCCTTGTGACGGAGCCGGGGCACTGGCCCGGGGGGATTCGTCTTTCCGGGGGGGGGGGGAAGAGGGAGGGCGGGTCAGTGACAAGCCACAGATGGGAGGGGAGGGGGGGGGGGGGGAAGCGGGGGAAAGAGGACTCGAGGGGGGGGATCCTGCGCACCGGAGCTGAAATAGGACCCAGGCGAAGAGCCAGCCGGCGCGAAGCTGGAATCGCTTTCATATGAAGAGGGGGTCATGAGCGCATAGTGTCCGCCTGTGCCCGCGGCCGGGGGCGGCGGGTATGAGGGCTGCGAAGGATGTGGCGGCGGTTGCTGCGGGGTCGATGACTGGTGGGAGTGCGGGTACGACTGGGAGGGGAGTGTGGCCTTGGCGTCGGCGCCCGACGACACGGGATTCTCGGGCATCGGCAGATTGAAGGGCGACGCGATGCCGGTGCCAAGCTCGGAGTAGGACGACCCCCCGGCATACGGGTGCTGCTGGGGATAATGCCCCGGCGCCGGGGGGGAATAGTGGCCCATCATGTGCTGGGAGTACTGCTGGCCCGGCTGATGGGGATACTGGGCAGGCGGGGCCGCTGGGTGATGGTCGGCCGCCGGGCCGGCATAATAGTTGGGATACTCGGGAGCAGGCCCGGGGGTGCCGATGGCGTAGGCACCGGCGCCGGGGACCGGCGAGGCCGGCACCGAGGGCAGCAACTGCGGCACCGAGGGCACTGACGCCATGTCCGGCTCCGACATGGCCGGGTACTCCGGCGCATAGTGCCCAGGGTGCATGGAGGCCTGGTATGGCGGCTGCTGCGTCGGGTGAGAGTAGCTGTGGCCCGAGCGTGCCGGGGCCGATGCCTGTTGCTGGTAGTAGGAGTATTGGCTCTCATCGGCCCAGGCGCCGCCGTGAATCGGCGATGGGGGCACGACGGTGGGGAGGGCCGCACTGGTGGACATGGTGCAATTGCGGGAGGAGGAAAGACAGGCCAGCGCTGGCGGGCGGTCCCATCAAGGGGTGGCAAGCAGCGCGGCAGGCGAGGAGGAGGGGGAGGGAGGGGGGAGGAGGCAAGGAGCAAGGGGGGGGGGAACGGGGGGGAGAGGAGGGGAATGGTGGTGGCCACATTCGGAGGGGGCCCCCACACAGCGGGGAGCCGGAAAAAAGTCCCCCACGATGGAGGCCAGATCGCGCGGAAAACACCCCAGGCATGATGGGCGCACTCCGCTTTCCTTGCTCCTCGAGCGCCGATTCGCCGCCAACTCCCCCCCC